CGGGTCCTGGGTCCCGACAGAGGAAGCGCCGTCGTCAAAGCAAGAGCGAGACGACGCGGCCTCTGGCCGTCCCCAGCCTGGAGCGAGGCGGTTGCTCCGGTTTAAAATGACAGCTTTAGTGTGCGGTAGGAGCTGCTCGATGCCTGCACCCACATGCCTGCCCGGACTGGAGTTGCTTTGTTTGGTTCAGCTTTTCCTTTCTCCGTGTGCCTGCTCAAGCACAGGTGACAGCAATAGGTCTTGTTTTCAGAGTGATTTTGCTCACCATCCTCCTCCTGTGCAGCTATTACTTGTAGTGGATTTTACGCTGGACCTCGAGGACAAGAATAGAGGCTGCTTGTGGGGCGTGTGTAGGACCATTTTGATGGTAGCGGTGATGCGATTTTAGTATTTGTTGCCTGTGTATTCACTTAAGATTGCGGAGCCTTAAATAAACGTTGTGTTTAAACACTGAAGCTGTTTTTGCTGCACCTCACATCTCCGTTCTTGTGTATCTTCACTTTGTTTTTCTCTTTCCGTTTCTGCATGGCATGTTTTTCCTTTCTGTGCCACGGCATTGCTTTTTGACCTTTCCACGTATACACTTTTAAAACAATTACCTTGCAGATCTGCTTTTTATGATCGTTTCCAATCTGATGTTTTTGCTTCTGGGTTTTATTTTGTGTGGAAGATTCAAAGTTTCTTGCTAACTTTTCTCAGCCTTCTTTGCCTGTAGTTATCTGACTCTAAAGAAGCCAGAATTGACACATGTGCAGGTGTAGCTTGCATCTGTTCTTTGTCTAGATTTGTTCTACAAATACAGCTCTTGGATAAAAAAGTATCGTTTCCAAGCAAATAAAAATGAATTGATGTAGGTTTTTTTGCTTTTAGTTATAGCTTCAAAATTTATGAAGCATTTGCTAGAAGTACGGTTTTGCATAAACATTAGTTCTAAATACAGACCTGACTTTTGACATACAGTTACAAATTTAACAACAGACTCATTGACGGTGCAGTCTTGACAGTTTGAAATATAACCCTGGACATTGAATAAGAGCCATGTTGAAATATCTCTGAAAAAATACTTCAGACCTTTCAACACTAGTAATGAAAAAGAATATTACAGTCTCACAGATCACAACAAACTGCTAAAATTCCTGGTTAAGAACGAGGCACAAGTAAAGGTTTCCAGATGTATTTCAAGGCGCAGCCTGCATTGTTGCTGTTCTGACTGGCAGCTTCAAAGTGTAACTGTAGTAAATTTGGTATGCTGGTACTGCTAGAAAAGGCAAACTCGAAGGCATTTGCTAGAAGAGGTTTTGTAAGTCTTCATTGGAATGGTTCAAAAGGTTTACGCTACATTAATGTGCCAGAATGCATCCTGCTACTGTGCTACAGAGCTGTAACGTGTGAATAATGTAAAGCTGTATTCCTTGTGGCTTGTTTAGAAATTTCATGTCTCTTTGGCTTTGTTGTTGTGTTCTGATTTTTTTCGTTAGGTGTTTTGTTTTGTTTTTTAAAGGGAGTTTCAGTGAAATAACTTTTTTCATTTATTGATTTAAACTGTTGTATATATCTGAATGCTGTAGAACAGTTACAGTTTTTCTAAGTCTAATATGTCTCTTTTGAACGCGCTTTTTGGTTTAAATTATTACATTATCATAGTCTTGAAGTATATACGATTGTGCAATAACATTTTGTGTTTTAAAAAACACAGCCAAAACATAAAATGATGTGTACCTGAACTGTGTTGGGAACAAAACCAGCAGTGCTAATTCCTTGTCCTCTGTTCGGTTCCTTAGGGGGATTCAAAGGTTTACGTAATTTTGTGTTCAGAGACTGTGACAGCACTTGGAGTATGTAGAATCTAGACATGCTTATTGACATAGAATGCCCTTTTTATTTTTCCTGTGGCACCTTGACGGGCAGTGTAAGTGATTTGAGGGGGCACAAACTAATGATAAGTTGACACACTCAACATCCATACTGACTGCTTGGTGTTTTGTTTAACAAAAACCAGGGAAATTCACTACAGTTCAATACAATTTAAAAAAAAACCCAAACACATCCTTCAGCTTACTCCATAGAGTTATCGAAGATTAGATTGTCAGCTTTTTCTTCAGTAAATACAGGAAGTTTATAAACAGTTTTGATTTAAAAATGAAAAAAAAACCCACCTGTCAGACCCTGTTTATTAAATACTTCTTTTTAGCTATTTGGCATATTCTCAAAAAAATAATTTGAGAAATTGCCAGCCATATAATATTTGATGCTGGAAGATATATCTGCGTCCAAAGCTGAGAATACTGTGAAACACAAAGGGGGCAGGCTGCTTTCAAGCTGTTCTGTAAAATCTTAATTTCTTTTTTTGTCTACTCATTTGATTATTTTAACTGTAATTTTAGTCAATAGAGTGTTTAGACACAAACCAGGTGGACTGTTCTTAGTTAAAATGTTTGTAATTTGAAGTTACAGTTTTTCTTTCCTCATTTATCAAGGAAGTAAATGATTTGGACTTAATTTTTCTTGTTCAAGTTCTCAAACAGATAAAGATATAAACAGTTATGAATTAATTTCTGAAACTGTTTTGCAGATGTTTCATACTCAGGCATCAGGGAACTTGATCAAGTAGTGTCTTTGTTTTAAGATCTATGCTTTGAAAGTTAAGACCTGAACTAACTAAATATAACTTTAACCACAGATGGAATTCTTCCTGTGCATTTAACTTTGCATTGGAATCATTCATCTTATGAGTCCCAAAATACACTCCAACTCTTTCAGACAACAGGGTGACAAACTAGTATATATATTTTTTTTCCGTGCTCAGAATCAGGCTTATTAGTGCTTGGAGCCATGATATTTCTTCTGAAAGAATATGAACAAAAAAATCCTTTGCAGTTTAATGTGAAATTAGCACACTTGAGGAATAAATAGAGATAAAAATGTCAGGGAATTAATGGGTTTTTGCCAAAATTCCATTGGAAAAGAAGAATATCCAATGGTGTTCTGACTACAATGGACATTTTGAAGTAAATGTGAGGGATTGATTTTTGTTTGATTGTTTTCAAGAGAGAACAAACACTCCTCGTTATTTTTGATCTAATATAGCTCCTGTTGAGCCTTTTTTCTGATAGTGAGGAGAATCCCAAATTAAAAGTAGGAACCAGAGTTCCTACTAGATTATATAAAGCATATTTCAGGGGAGAGGCAAGAATGTTTTATATAGATAGTTTTCTGTGGTGGGAAGCTATGTTCTTTGCTGTGGGAAGGCAGAATGATGACTATAAAAATAAAGTGATATTGGCTGTTGACTTTGGAAATGTTGATCTGCACTAATCACTCGCCCAGTTTTCTCTTAAGTAAAGCTTGTTTGTGATTACTGCCTGTTACAACCTGTAAGCTATTGTGAGCTTTTTCAAGTAAAGTTCTCTGCTTAAAATGTGGTTTAGTTCTACCTTCTTAGTAACAAAAATAATGAAAATATATTTGAATAAATCAGTCCAATCTGGCACCAACATGCATAGGTACAGGTGGCCCTCATAATGCTGGTGGCAGCATTGTGATGTATGTGCCTGTGTTTCTCTTCACATGCTACAATTATCAGAAACACATGAAAACTTGCAGACTGGATGTGTTTGATGTCCTAGGAGACAACAACTTTGTAGAAACGAAAACTGATGATGCTCTTGGCAAGAGTTCGGCTGGTAGCAGCGTTGCTTCTGATTCAGGGAAAACAGGAATAATGTGTGACAATGTTTAAGAAATACCACTTCTTACACCGAAAGTGGTGGTGACCTGCTACGTGAGCAGCTACGATGAGTGTGTTGCTTGAGGAGTGTTGGAGGAAAGAATCAAAGAAGCTTTTCTGTCATGACACCGACATCAGATCAGTGGTCAGAATGTGGAAAGCAGTTTGATAAGCAGTATATCTAAGTGGGAGTATGAGTTTTAACCCTCTTTTCGGCCACTGAACAGTAGTAGATTCAGTGTATATGGTAAAAGATTCAGTGTATATGGTAAAAGATTCAGTGTATATGGTTTGGACCGATAAGTGCTTTTTAGATAATGAATTTCATACGTGTAGAAGATACCTGTTGGACTGTGAAAATAATAAGTTAGTATTAGAAGTGTGCCTATCACAAACTAAAGCTTTAAGCTGTTCAAGCATTTTTTCCAAAAAACACGCTTTGACTTGGAAGAAGCAGTTCAAAGGAGTCTGTTTTTCCTAATAACAAATGAGCAGATGTAATGACTTTAGCAGATACATTCTAGGCATTGTCATCTACTGATTGATTATAGTTTTCTGAATACTATGCATCTTTTCCTTTGTATTTGTAGTTTATCAAAACACTTCTTACTATTTTCCCTGCTGTTTACATGCCCACAGTTTCATAGTCTCTTAGTATTTATACGTGGTGATTACCAACTACCTCAGTCATATATAAATAAGATAAATAGTACTTTTAAAAAAAAAAAAAAGGTGAAGCTGGAGTCCCAAAAGTAGGTCAGTTTTTTTTATTGGCTTCCAGGTTGCTCTCACGTCTTAATTGTTTTGGCTTAAAAAATAATCATGTTGAATATCTGTGAAGATTGTTACCTGTTGATTATAATATATCACTGGACTGGCACAAATTTCAGAGATCCTTCTGTAAGTATGGAAGTTCACTCCAGATACCCCAATAGCAATATTGTACGTTATGACACTTAAACAGTGTGTCTTGTGGGAATTAATTTTTCAGGCCATGGCGTGAGTATAGGCTGGAATCGTACTCATCTAACCAAAATTTAGAATAGCATCTAGAATTAGGCAGTGGAGCAGGAAGAAGGACGTTCAGGTCTGGAGGAGCTTGCCTGTAAAGAAAAGTGCTGCATTTTTTCCAAAGTGAGTGTAATAGTTGGCCATATGGACAGAATACTTCCTAGCCAATCCTCACTTATGAAAGACAAGGATCCAGATTGCTGACAGTTTGCTGGAGCATTTTAGCACAGACTGAAATGAGATAAAACACAGCCAGTGGACATGTGTTGGAGTATCAAAATCACTTTCGTGGTACTTTGCAAGTTAGTGTGAAGAGAATATTTATTAGAAAATAATTTTTCTTAATCTTTGAGAAGTCCTCACTTCTAGCCTGCAAACGGTCTTGAAGGAGAAAAAGAATAGCTAATTAAATCATAAATAGAATAACACAATTTCCCCCCCTCTCCCCCCAATATATCATTTAACTCAGTGCAGTAAATGCATCACATCTTTTCGTGTGGGAGAAGGGCGTATCATATTCTTACTTTTTGAAGTGAAGTTGTAAAGCTGGCATCTGCCTGTCATCTTCACAGTGTGCGTGGTGCAGATGACAGTGCTTACGAAGAAGATTGTGAGAGGAAGCACACATTTGCAGATAATGTGTTGAAGTTGGTCTTGATGTTAAACCATGCACAGCGTTTTAAACTGAATATTAGGTATGAGTAACTGGTAGAATTGGTATGCATGGATCTGTGAAACATTCATTGCCAGGTGTGTGATAATGTGTTGAAGTTGGTCTTGATGTTAAAACATGCACAGCATTTTAAACTTTAATACTCATTAGGTATGAGTAACTGGTAGAATAAGTATGCATGGATCTGTGAAACATTCGTTGCCAGGTGTGGTTTTTTGTAATTTGTGTCAGTGTGGTTTTAAGTGTTGTTTCACATATATTAAGTTACTTCTCCCTCGCCCCCCACAATAATATTCTTTGAAGGACATAAACCCCAAATTTCAGTATTGCAGTTTAAGACCTTTCCACCTGAGACACAGCATGCATGCAGCTGTTGCATTCATTTCCATGTGCCTGTTTTAATACTTGGATAATATCTGTAGCAACTGGGCGTATTTTGTGTGATATAATTCTAGGCCTAGCTGTTCCTCTCTGGTCTGTCATACGTGGTGTGCACAGAAACCTGCGATGTATCTAAGCACATCTAGCTCTCTTCAGCTGATGTTTGGTGTTGGCTTCTGTTGAAGTTAGATCACTCCAGAGTTCATGCAGCTCTGCTGAGTGTTAGGTCTCTTTGTGTAAATGTCCTGAAAACACTTGATTTTTATTTAGTGTGAATTGATTTGGTGATTTAATTTTTCCAGCATAGAATGTTATGTGCATAATCGGACAACGGGATAGGTGACAGATGTGCAAGTGAACTTGTGTCTTTTTTCCACTCCCATTTCTGTTTCAGAAAAGGGATATTCACCTGTGCAGCCTGTAGTTCTACAATAAGTGGGCTTTGGGAATTCTTTTTATCAATACCAAAAATACAAGAAAACCAGGCAAGTGAATCTCTTTGTAACTGTACTACTTTCATCCAAATTTGCAAAATTACTTGAAGAAAACAGAGTATTGGTTGTGACCCAGTATGTATTTGAAATACGATTTAAAGTGCGACCAAAAAGTACTGGGAAAATAACTGGCTGATAGAATGTAAGGAAAATGCTTACTCTGCAAACTTATAAATACTTTGGGAAGTCTTAAGTAAGGCTAGCTCATTGCTTGTTTTTAAGTATAGGCATACATCGTTACAGGATTGAGATTTTAATCAGTTTATCAAAAAGGGTGATATGTAGAAAATCAGAGATTTGCACGTTAAGCTTTCAGAAGACCAAACCTGAGAAGCTTTATCTCAGGGAGTTAGTTTGGATATATGCAAATTAAAGAAGCAGACAGAGCTTGGCAGCTGACGTTCTTTTTCCATGGGTGTTTGGAATTGACTCTGTAGTATGTAACGTGGATCGTTTTGAGAACTGTACCGATAGCACTTTAACATCTGTTATTACGCATGTGTAAATACATGTGGTGTTCACCAGGACTGCATCTTCATACTTCAGTATCTGTCCTGAATAAACAATCACATTCTGTGTTTTGCTCTGGCTATAAACTCCCAGCTGTGTGTCCAACTCCTCAGGAATATGAAGCAAAGCTTTTCATAAGGCATGTCAGAGCTACTGGAGAACAGTTAAGAGGACACAGTAAGGGAGAGGTTTTGCCTACGGGACCTATGTGTCACTGCCACTGCTGCTTTTCCAGTGAAACTGCTGTTTTGCCACTGCTGTGCTACATAATATGGAAATTCCCGAAATCATCAGATGTGATTCTGTCATTGTTGACAGCATGGAGCCTTTGAAACAATCTGCAGAAGTTACCACAGAGATTGTAAAGTAATCATTTCTGAACGTGTACCTTCTTACCTGTAACGCCTACGCACTTTTGTTGTCTTACTGTGGCAACTTAAAGTATCATTACGGTTTGACTGTCTTGAGAATTTTGGTGTTTTTCTACTTTCTACACTATCATTAATGTTTTTGTATGTTTTAATTCAGTCTTGTGCACATGTCTATGCTTATGGTACTAGAACGTCATAGCTAAGTAAACTTGAGTTTGACTAAAAGGTCCTTTCCCATTTCGGGGAAAGATATGGTTAAAAGCTGACCATTCTAAACCTTCGAAATAAGTTTTCTGTTTTCTAGGTTGTGTAATGTTTTACTTAAAAGAACTCTGCTGTCTAATTTAGCGATAGTGTTTGCTTTTAATGCAGCGTGTATGTGTGAAAATTTGCCGTGGGTCTGTGAAGTTGTAAAGAACAACTAAATTTGTGTTTTTATAATACATTTTGCAACATTGCCACTTCATGAAAGCAAATAAAAAATGCTCTGAACATATTTTTTTCTCATATGTAAATTGTATGGAATTAGAAGATTAACAAGTAGCCTTAAAAATAAAGGAATAAAAAACATTTTGCAAATATTTATATTCAGTAATTGGCAAATTGTCTTCTAATATATCTTTACATATGCGTGGGTTTTGCCTGATAGTAGCATCCAGTCTACATGTATTTAATAGATAAACATTGAAAAATATTTTATAATTAATTTTTAATAAACGCATTATGTATCATTATTATAGGGAAAACGATCTTGCAGACGCTCTAGAAGAAGGAGGCTGTGATCTTGAAACTGTGAGAAACATCATTCAAGGAAGGCAATTGCCTGCTGATCTGAGGGCCAAAGTCTGGAAGGTAAATATGAGCTTAAATCAAGAAGCAGGAAATACTTTAAGTTGTGTTTGATTTGAGGTAAGTGATTTAATTACTAGGTATCTATACAGAAGAGATGTACACTGGAATTTTAATATGCATGTATGTTGATTCAGTTTTAGGATATTTCTTTTCATTTACTTCAACATTTGCTTAATTACAAAAAGATACTAAAATATTCAGAGGGTTTTCTGGTTTTGTTTTCAGATTGCACTTAATGTTGTAGGAAAGGGGGACAGCCTAGCATCCTGGGATGGCTCTTTAGACCTACCAGAACAGAGTACAATTCATAAGGATTGCCAAGAGCTAGTTGGTAAGTTCAATTACGTTTAGATCACCTGTGTGAAAACATCGGTACTCCCAGTTGTCTTAGGGCTTTGTTATTTCAATTAAATAACCTAACCGATGTTTACGTTACGGAGGAAGATGAGAGGGCATAGAAAATCAGAAAGAACTCGTTAGAAACCAGTAGTATCTTATCTTTACTCAGACTCTGAGATGGATGATATCATGGAAGTTTTAAAGTATTGGCTTGTAAGTGATAGTTTGCATGATCAGAGCAGATGGGAAGAAAGCTCCAGGAGTTGAAAGAAATTAAAATTGT